ATATAGATGCTGTTATCCAGATCACTTCTGCAAGAATTTAGCTCGTATTTTCGTTATGTACAAGAATGTGAGTAATACTGAAATTACAGATGTTATTAAAATAGCATTTCTCGTTGTTACTTCAGCACAGTTCTATAAACACTTTCATTCTTAATTTAAAAGAAAAAACTTATGTGGAAAATAGTTAAATTTTCCTGGTAAAATATGAATTAAGATAAATTACATAGTATAGATGAATTAGACTGTATGATTATGCTAGCGATGTTTGCCTATATGGAGAAATAACATCATTAAAGACTATATTTATTGTTATTTATTTATTATGTGCTTTGTGGAAGATGTTTTAAGGAGAAGTGGCTCATATGCACGTTACACATGGGGAAAATCTCAAAAACGCCCATGCAACCAGCCCGTTCGCCGGGACTGAAATCCCGGACTGAACTACCAGTGTTCAGTGGTATTTATCGCTCAGCCAATAAAGCACTTTCTCTGTAAAGCACTTTCTGCATGAAACTGACCTGTATGTTCATTGTATGTGTGTACGCGAAGGAAAAACAGCTTTATTTAGCTGCAGCAGAGAATAGAACCTTGGAAAACCAACAGTGGGTATCGACTTCACTGATATGCCATTAGGTGATATTCGATTGACCGAAGGTATGATCTGACTGTTATCAATATGGGTACAATTTCTTATAAGAAAGAAGTTGAAGCAAAAGGATGTACAGTCAAAAGTCGTTAATCCGGACTCGTCGGAACTTCGGCGATTCCGGATTATAGATCATCAGTTTAAATCTGGTAAAATGGCATGCAGAAATTATAAAATTAAAAATATGAAACCGTAATTTACGAAATAAAGAACAATTATGATCTAAAGTGTATCAAAATTTACAAAAAAAAAAAAAAAAAAAGCTTAATATATATTTGTTTACTTTATTAAACACTTCTTTCAATGTAAATTGTTTAAGTTGCTTCATTTTTTGTGCTAATACTTTCTCTTTAATTCTATAAATAGACATAATTATTTGTTCAGTTACAAAGTTCCACTGTTCAAGTCCTGTAAATGCTCTGTCGAGAATGCCGACTAACTTGACAATCAAAATTTTTTGATTTTGCTTCGTTTTATGTGATAATAGAGCTCTTTAATTCTATAAACAGACATAATTTTGTGTTCAGTTAGAAAGTTCCGCTGTTCAAGTCCTATAATTGCTGTGTCGAGAATACCGACTAATTTGTCAATCGAAATTTTTTCGTTTTCAATAACCTCTGTTACTTTCTTTGCTATCGGAAGCGAATTATAATGACGAGGCATTTGATTTAAATCATATCAAAGACAGAGTGCATCGAAATGAAATACTACATTTAGTAAGCAATTATAAGTCAAATAAAATAAAAACATCTGCCCTGAAGATAAGGATAGTGCTGACAGATCAACTTCCAATTCATTGCCGCCGCGGCATTAAAGATAAACAAAGTTAGATAAACAGAGGATATGCCTTTATTCATTTTTTGCAACAATTCCACTTTTTGTTTAATGGACTCCGAAACATTCTTTCGCTTTGTAGATCCGTTACATATTAGTAAATATAAATCGGAAATTCTATTTGACATAATCGAAAGTTCAAGCTTACTTTTATAAAATTGCTCTAACAGTCTGCAAAAAATAATAAGCCGGATCCAATTCGAAGATTAAGGAACAACACAATCTGCAACATTAACTGAAATAGATAATTTTAGCTTAGCTTACACCGTCCGTTATACATTAAACGCGCATTCGTAAATGTATTTTGCGCACACGCAAATTCGCAGCCGTAAAGGTCTTACGCGCATGCGTCAAAGCGACGCATGCGCAGAAAGTTTGTAGCTTTGAGGTCCGGATTATAGATCATTCCAGATTATGGGTGTCCAAATTAACGACTTTTGACTGTATATGTATCTATATTCTAATTATTATTACTCATTTTGATTATCTCCTAGGAAATGAAGAGTAAATGCTTTAAAACTGTATTTTAATACATTCCCCACATTTTGGATGTGCAAGTATTTATAACAAAAATATAGAAAGCAAATATATAAGAGTAATTACTTTTGATGATCTCATAGAAATTCCTGGCTTTATAAGAGGAATTAGTCTCTTTCCGTAAAATCATTAATATTTGTAATATCTTTATATATATATATATATAATATATTGGATATATTGGAATATCTTTTTTTTTAAAGAGCATTTTGTATTTTTGAATAAAACTTCTAGGCTGAATGTGAAAAAAATGTAAATTAATATAATATTTGAATTTAAATCTGATTTTTAAATGTATGTATACACATAAATATATGGATGCATCTATATATATACACAGTTATCATATATGCATGGTATTTATACATACATGTGTATGCTTTTATCCACATGTGCATATCATCTGCATATATCTGTTTCTATATACGTGCACAATTATACATGCTACATATTCTCATTTTTGTTGCATATGCACGCACACCTCATTTGCATAGATATATACAATGTGCATATGCATATCAGTATGGTTAGGTTACTTATGTAGAATTCTGGAGAGTAAATTAATCATCCCAAACACAACTGAAAGTTTTGCCTCCAGCTAACATTGCACTATGGAGGAAAAATGAAAGGGAATTTACGAAACCCTACACTTGTGAGTTGCAAAGGTCGTCGGGCAATTGGCACAAAAAGGTTATTGCACAATGACTTTCTCCATGCCGTAAATGGGGGGGGGGATTTCTCTGCCCAAAATTTCAGCCACAGCCATCATTTTGAGACTCTGCAGCTCTGGCTGTTTTTCAGTCACCCGTCTTCTAAGCATTAACTGAGGTGCATATCGCATCCATAATGATGTGTTTATGAAAATATGTATCCTGAGTTAAGTGTTTAGAAATAAATTGTTGTCTTCAGCCATGTCTGTCTGCAAATGTCATCTTATGTATCTATACAGCTATCATCTAATCATCAATATATTTTACAGAATTTATTACACGCACATATATATATGTACACACTATTATTGTGCACTTTTCTTCCTTGCTTGTTCAGTTCATATTTTAAATCTCTCAATTCAGCTCGATAGACAATAATGCATCATGCACACTATTTGCAATAATTGCTTTGATAGAATAGAAATGTTTGTTAATGAAACTGCAATTAATTTTTAAGTTAATTTTTATATCAGCAAGTTTTCTATTCCTTAAATCAGGTAGTTATATAAAATAGTGTAGAAAATCAGATCCAGTAATATTGGTTGACACTTTACATGCATAAAAATCAAAATTGGAATTGCGACAAAGTCTGATGTTATGGCTTAAATATTTTGTCCATAAACCGGAATTGGTGTACCATTGGCAGCAGAAAATATCAGAAGAGATCATTTCACCTTCGTCTTCGGTTGCTGAGAGGACCCACAATGCTCAGTAATGCTAACTTTCTGGTCTTAATAAGAAGCATCAGTGTGCTCACTATGTTGCCTCGAACCTAAGAAGCAACCTTCGGTGGCAAATGAGTGTCACAGTAGTTAAATTTTGTCTCTCCACCTTGGGATCTATAATAAGCTTTGGTATAGTTAAAACAAAAGTTGATTCACACATAGCAAACCACAATGTAGGATCAATAGGATTGTAGATTGTTACGGCTACTATTTCCTCCAAGGTTTTGAAGTGAAGAAAACAAAGTCTTGAAACAACCAAGCTTTGGGTTGAATTCCAAACTTCATGTATGTAGACAGGTTGCCATTACAGTAGTTCGGTTGTGGCTCGGCATTGGTTCTTGCAAGACATGACCCCACATTGCTGAAATTAACAACTTTACAATCAACTTCATTAAGACAACAATTTCATGAAAACACAGTAGCTACTACGTGACACTTGAACTTTACAGAACTGATGACATTAGCTGGCAGTGTATGCAGCTGATCATGAGATAACCACAAAGTCAGCAGTTATATCAACAATAAATGAAAATGTTTTGTATCTGATAAATTTAAAAGATGCTTTTGTTGAATCTCGTTGCTGTGCAAATCTATTCCCAAATGTCATTTCTTAGCTGCTTTTCAAACCTGTTCCCAAATGTTAAAAATTGAAACTGCGTTTGTTATCAGTCAACAGTACTTATATTTATCAGTGATTTTGTTGTTCTAGTTTAAGGTTGTTTGGATATGTAAGATACCGTCTTTTTCTGAAAATAAGTCCTATCATGATTTTTGGAACTTTTTGTAAAATAAGACATCTGAAAATAAGCCCTATCGTGATTTTCGGAACTTTTTGTAAAATAAGACATCCCCCGAAAATAATCCCTAGTTAAAATAATGTGACAAAAAGAATTCGTTAAAAAATGCTGTTATTTATTAAGTAATAATATGTTTAGCTTTCCTAATACTCGTATTTCAGAGAAATGTTTGAAACAAAATATTCCGAATGCATATATTGAAAACAGAATGGTGAGAAATCATCGAGGTAATTTTGTAAAACCAGGCTTACAAGAAGTTGTGAATTGGTTAAAAGTCATGGGACAAAATAACTGATAGTGATGTCTCCAATGCACTACGAACAGGCTACTTAGACAAGAAGTATTAAATTAACGATAGCTATATCGCAAGACATGAGAGATTCGGACCAATGATTCAACAAGAAATGGATTTGGAAGAAAATCAGAATATAATTCAGAATTTTATTTATGATGATGTTCCAGAAGAAGATGACATGACTGTAATTGAATAAATTTAAATATCTGTATTCTGTGTAAAATAAATATTAAAATAAAAATACATAAATATACTTTTATTTTTGCCTTCCCCCGAAAATAAGCCCTAGCATGTATTTTGGACCAAAAAAGAAAGTAAGACAGTGTCTTATTTTTGGAAAAAGAAGGTATTATTGCCGAATGCTCTACTAAATTTGTTCCAGTAAATTACAGCTTGATATGTATTTTGTTGTTAATGTTAGTTATATTATTATAATTTTATTTTATTTTTATACAGGAAGATGAGTTAAAGAAGGCAATCTTGGTTGTTTTGGCTAACAAACAGGATATTGAAGGTGCTCTGAGTGTAGCTGAAGTACATCAAGCCTTAGGATTAGATTTATTAAAAAATAGGACCTTCCAAATTTTTAAAACATCAGCTATAAAAGGTGATGGACTTGAGGAAGCAATGGAATGGTAAATATTTATATCATGAATCAGGCATTGACTATTTAAATTTTTAATTATTGTCTGTGTTATTTTAAGTTAATGTTTGGCTCCTAAAACATTACAGTAAAAGCATTCCTTACTTAACTAAAATTCACTTAAAGGGGTGAACGTGACATTTGACTCACTGATTTTGACCAGCTCCAGTTGTAGGAGTCCTAAAAATCATTGCAAAAGCTTAGTACACCTCTCTCAGAAATTAGCAAATGGAAAATAGAATCAAATTTTCATATGATATTCTTACACTTGTTTTAGTTCTAATTGTCACAGGCATCTGTAATGTATTCATTTTATTAGCTCTCCAGTGGTACCTCAGTATAGTCATTAAGTGTTTCCATATCCTTGGACGTAAATCAAGTGAACCTTTCTAATAAGAGATGAAGGAAAAATAAGTTTTTCTTTAAAAAAATTCTACTGTTTAATACTAAAATACAAATGGAGTGAGTGAAATATATACTGTACATACAGATTTTTCTGTTTTCCAGGTAAAAGCAATTTTTCAGCCTGCTGTGATTTCTGAGGTTAGTTTGCTGATCATTTTCATCTCCTTAGCAACATTAGCTGATTTAATAATGCCATTGTTTTTCACAATTGTAGGCACCATCGTACTTGGCATGTGGTTTTGCAATAGCCAAACATTTTATCTTTATGCTTTTTAACAATCTCTGTTTTCACTTCCGTGATGATCCTCACAATTTTCTTTGTTGCTTGACCATTCTCGTTAACTTTGCTAAAACTCATTGCTGATAAATTTACAAAATGTGTACAATAAAAAACAAGATCTCTTGAAGATTCAAAGTTGTAACACAAGTTGTTTACTGAATAGTAGGTAATAGGCATGTTGAAATTCAGTGGACATTCATGGCATTGTCTCAGAAGCGGTAAACAAATTAAATGTGTGCACTTGCAAATTATCAAACTTGAATTGTATTCCAAATAAACGTTGTATACAAAACACAAACTTTATGTCCGAACAAGATATATACCAAATTGACTTATTCCAAAGCAAACGTATATTGAAGTACCACTGTATATATCTTCCTTTGGAAATTATGTGAAGATTGTACAAATTTCAAAAGATATAACCACTGCTATTAACTCTTGCAAGAGAACGTGATTAATAGAAATCATGATTTTGTGAGTTAGGTTTAATATGCATGTTTCAAACAATACGAAAATTTTTTGTCCAAGCAGCATGTAAGCAGTCCTTTTTTACAAGGTGTAAGTACTCTAAAGGAAGAAATGTAAATAAATTTTTTAAAGTGCTCCTCTTACATCCAGTTGCAAATTACGTAGCATTAGAAACATTTGTTACTAATTACAGAGATGTTGCCAATGTTCATAAAACTTGTCTTTTAACCCCTTCTCTTACAAATTTTTTTGAAAAAAATTGCAAAAAATTATCATTTTTTAAATTAATTGTTAAAAACAAGGAAATGAAACAAAACATATAGGTTTTAAGTTGAATTTTTATTTTTTTTACTGGTGTAAAAGCATTTAGTTTTAATATTAGTTTACTATGAAAAAAGTTATATACAAGTCTTTGTATGAGAGTTTTTGAAACAAGGGACAACACAAAGTGATACCTGACATTATGTACACTGGTATCTGGTCTCTTTTCTTACTGGCTTACCTCTGGAATCTCTTTTATGGAAGCATAGATTACACTGTCTCGTTGGATTTTTTTTTCAGTAGCAGGAATAACATCTGGAAACTCTTCATAATCACTATCTGAAAAATCATCGCTTTTGCTTTCTTGCATCATTGCCATTATTTTCCTTTTTTCAACGCAACTATCCTTCTTTATACATTGCTAATCCACAAGCCGACATATACTATACAATAGGGAAAACACGTGACCGGTCCTGTTTAAAGAACCGCAAAACCAACAAAACTTGGCAAACTGCCAATCAAAGCTGAATATTTCCTTTCATTTCCTCCAGGCTGAGTAAAACCGGGATAAAACAAATATTCTGCTTCGCCAAGTTTTCTTGGGATAATAATTAACTGCCATACATACGAATCCGAGATAACTCGTGATAATCAGGCAAGCGGTTAAATACTGTATTGTAACTTAAATTAGTCCCATGCATTATTAAAAAATAAAGTATTAAATTTTGTTTTTCCTCAAACATCATTACAAAATCATCGTGGAGAAAGTAATGCAAAACAAAAGTCATGTTAGGGGAAAAATTTAGCCGTTCTTGAACATTGCAGTACAAAATATCGTTGAAGGAAATTTCTCAGTTTGAAAACATTGTGGTAGAAAATAAAGTCCCTTCAGAATGTTGACAAATAAAAATATCAAAATGCACAAAAATTGTGTTTTAATGCAATCAGTAGTTTTCACAGGAAATTAGCAATAATTTTTGGATGATTAATGGTTCTTTCTAAGTTCTTTTGTAATTATTCATAAGTCTATTACAGACATGCTTAAAAATATGAAAATCGTGAATTAAAACTATTGATGTCCAGTACAAACAGGGAAATCAAAAGATTCTGACGTGTGATTTTTAAAGTGCACATTAAACAATATTCAACTTCCATAGCAGAACTATCATACAATCACTCAAAAGTATTGGGACATGTTATGTGCAAAGTATGTGCAGCTATTTATAAAAATATGAATCACATTAAAACAAAAATAAAATTAGGACATGGTGCAATACTTGGAAAAAATTTTTAGCCTTTTAAATATAATTTAATTACAAACACAAATGTATTGGGACTCTTTTGAAATGAGAAATTAAAAAAATACTATATACTGCATCGATAAAATTTCATTAACTACCACTTTTTCTAGATTATAATTTCAGTAGGAAAGATTACTTATGATACAGTGGCAAGAAACAAAGATATTTCAATTGATGTATGGAATCTGGTAATAATTCATTCGGAAAATGCAAAATCAGATCATTATATAAGATAAATCTTGAAGTAAGTCTGCTGTTGTTAATGTTATCCAGACATTCAAGAAAATGGTGTTGAAAACAATCAAAGATCAGGGTGTCAAACAATGTTTAGTGAACATGATGAGAGGTGCATTGTGAGACAAATTTACGTTAATCCAAGTGCAGCAAAATTTATGTTGCAGTGTAAAAGTAGGTCTGTGAAATTTTTAAATCCTGAGACTGTCAGAAATGTTTAAAAAAGAACCTAAGCTATATGGTAGAGTACCTCAGAGAAAACCCTGCATTAGCAAAGAAAATCGAAAATCTTGACTGGTATTTGCTAAAATGTATATACAGCAGTAAAACGAATTTGGGGAAAATGTCATTTTTGTGGATGAAAGCATATACAGTCAAAAGTCGTTAATTCGGACACCCATAATCCAGAATGATCTATAATCCGGACCTCAAAGCTACAAACTTTCTGCACATGCTTCGACAACGCATGCGCGTAAGACTTTTACGGCTGCGAATATGCGTGTGCAAAATACGTTTACGAATGCACGTTTAATGTATAATGGACGGTATAAGCTAAGCTAAAATTATCTAATTCAGTTAATGTTGCAGATTGCGTTGTTCCTTAATCTTTGAATTGGATTCGGCTTATTATGTTTTGCAGACTATTAGAACAATTTTATAAAAGTAAGCTTGAACTTTCGATCATGTCAAATAGAATTTCTGATATATATTTACTAATATGTAAAGGATCTACAAAGCAAAAGTATGTTTCGAAGTCCATTAAACAAAAAGTGGAATTGCTGCAAAAAATGGATAAAGGCATATCCTTTGTTTATCTAAACTTTAATGTTTGTTTATCTAAACTTTGTTTATCTTTAACGGCGGGCAGTGAATTGGAAGTTGATCTGTCAGCACTATCCTTATCTTCAGGGCAGATGTTTTTATTTGGCTTATAATTCCTTACTAAATGTAGTATTTCATCTCGATGTACTCCGTCTTTGATATGATTTAAATCAAATTCCTCGTCATTATAATTCGCTTCCGATAGCAAAGAAAGTAACAGAGGTTATTGAAAACGAAAAAATTTCGATTGACAAATTAGTCGGTATTCTCGACACAGCAATTATAGGACTTGAACAGCGGAACTTTGTAACTGAACACAAAATTATGTCTGTTTATAGAATTAAAGAGAATGTATTATCACATAAAAAAAACGAAGCAACTTAAACAACTTACATTGAAAGAAATGTTTAATAAAGTAAGCAAAATAAATATTAAGCTTTTTTTTTTTTTTTTTTTTTTTTTTTTTGTAAATTTGATACCCTTTAGATCATAATTGTTCTTTATTTCATAAATTACGGTTTCATATTTTTAATTTTATAATTTCTGCATGCCATCTTACCAGATTTAAACTGATGATCTATAATCTGGAATCGCCGAAGTCCCGACGAGTTCGGATTAACGACTTTTGACTGTATAACATTTTCAAATTGGATGGTGAGCAAAATGTTTGGCTGACACCATGATCCATATAAAAAATGTGGGACCTATTGTAAAATATGGCGGCAGCAACCAAATGGTCTGGAGTTGCATGGCAAGCTGTTACTTAGGGAACTAAGACTTTATAGATGGTACAGTAAATAATTATGGCTATTATTGACATTGTCAAGCAAAATTTAAGTGAAGTACAAGCTATTTGGGAACCTCTAGACCAGGGCTGCTCAAACGTTTTCGACCCATGCATCCATTTCAGCAGTGCTAGAAGTCTATGCCCCCTCCTTTCTAAAACTTCAAAAATACATATACAGGTAGCCAGCCCTCTTACAACACTGCATCCTGTAATAACATGATTCATAAATTGGAAGAACCCTCCCACAACAGGTTTTTCCCGTAACACTGTTTCTCTCTAACATAATAAGAAAATTGCCCAAGTAATCTGAAGAAATTTAACAAACTTTGCACGCTATTTTTCCATATTGAACAAAGTACCCACATAGCCATTTAAAATATAAGAATCCTTGTTTCGTAAGTCCTGCCAGTTGTCTTCCAAGATCCTGTTCCCAT